TGTATGGAGCATTTAACTGACAATTGTACTCCTTTATTTAGGTACTCAAGAGGAGGCAGTGCCGGTCCTACCTCTCATGTATGTGCAGCGCTGCATTCTGGGATCAAATCGAGCAGAGTAAGAGTCTGATGAGGATTCATTTGCTGGGGGAAATTGACAGTGAGACCGAAAGCTTGATATCTGCTTTTTTGGGAAGAGCCATGAAACAGGCTTGTCAATCAATTGGACAGGGACAGGGCTGTTGAATGATAATGGTAATAATTACAAGCCACGCAGGGACTCTCCTGATTGGCCGTGAAACCTCTGCATTAATGAAACGCAATAACCTCTCTACAAGCTGCTCTTCCTGACATTGTGACACCTCCTCGTCTGACCCCATCTCTCTTTCTCCTCCAAACCCTCCCTCCTTCATTCCTCTGCAATCCAGTCGGGGAGGATCCCTGCAGGGGGATTTTGTTAGGCAGAATAGCAGCGTTGATCTTGAAGGCTTAAGACCTACTGTACCTGTCAACAGTGTGGCTTTGGTGCTGACGACCAGCGGCTTAAGTCATTTGAAGTCGCTCCTTTTTTTAATGAGGAGGGGAGGAGGCGCAGCGAGGCTGACAGCCAGTCAGGGTCTTGAAATAATTCCATACCTCTGAATAACCAGAGGTGTCTGTCTGACTTAATCCCCCCAACACACACACACACACACACACACGCACACATACACACACACACACACAAACCTTCAAGGTAGTGGAAATAAAAGCAGGTTGCCGGGCTAATAATGAGGAAGTCGTGGGGGGGGTGACATTGTTAATTACAACTAAAACATTATTGCAACTCAGTCAGTGTCAGCGGATCCAAACGGACATACACTAGATACGGGTTGTGTTCATGACCTATGACCAAATCAATCAAGGATGTATTTATCAAGTGGTTAAAAAAGTGGATGTTTTCAAATGTCTTCTTTTGCCCCACCAACAGTCTGCAACTCAATTTTTTCTTTATTTGATTATTGTAGAAGAAAAATACGGGAAAAAAATCGCATTTCGAACCAGAATAAATCCATATCCAGTTGTTTTTGGTAAATAAAATGACTTTCTGAGGCTGTTTCTGCCTACGCTCTCTGAACGCCAAAAGCTCAGTTAAGTATTTTTGTGGTTTCTTTTTCAGCTTATCAATAATCCATCATCACTGCTTCATTATAAATGTAAACACTCTGAGAATTGCTACACAAATATGTTCCTATTTTAGCGAATATTGAAAAATGACTAGTGATTTTGAAATATTTGTTTCTGAGGCTTCACTCAATACTTTCCCAAGTTCTGCGTCTCGTGTTGGGTCTCATTACTTGGCTCTATTTCTGTTGCCCCCCCCCCCGTTGGGGACTTCAAAGTGCAGGCCAGCCGGGGAGAGGCCTTAATTATCCGCTCGCCTTGAAACTCACGCCAAATCACAAGTTCTGCTCACTCCTGCCTCCCTCACACTAATTGTGGTGCTGGAAGTTTTTGCTCCTCCTCTGCAGAAAAAGAAGATACAATTAAGACCAAGTAGGTGAGAATACTCTGAAATGTTAAAGTGGACCTATCATGCTATATTTGAGTAATATAGTGTAGGACCATACCTACAGTATATAAGGCATATTTATACCTTTTATTTTTCAAAATACCAAACAGATCATGCATTTTAGCCATTCCTCATTTCGCTCAATTTAACACTGTCTTTGCATGGGCTGATTCTGTGAGAACAGCACCATCTACAGGCCTGGCATATGTACTACAGCATATCCAGCGCTTCCGAACGGCAATGTCCGTGGCTATCTCCTCCTGATTGGTGGAGTTGGCCCAATAGCCGTAGCGCCACTGACGTCATAGAAGTGTTCAAATCTGGATCAGTCTGTATCAGATCCGTTGCAGCCCCTTTTTAAGAGATTTGGGTATGGAGGAAAATAGAGAGGGTTGTGTTTTCTGACACTTGGTGAGTTCCCTGGAACACCGGGGACACATATTCATGTATAAAAGACATACAAAAGTGCATTTTGCTTGATAGGTCACCTTTAACCTACTAAGCCCGAGCCTGTTTTTCAGGTCTCAGGCTCGAAAATGACATTACCAGAACAAATGACTATATCTTCACTTCTAAAAGGGGTAAATTAAAAAAACTTTGTCTCAAAGTAATGAGAAACCTGTGAGTTGGATGTAGAAGAGTCAGAATCAATATAGGATTTTTTTTTTTTAAAGTAAATTCAGATTGAACATATTACAAAAATGTAAATTATAGTGTCCGTCCAAAAAAAACACATTATTTATAGTGAAAACCACCCTTGAATGATGGGTTAGTAGACTAAAAGCTTTAGGAATCCAAAATACAATAAGTACCCTGTATCAAGATTGATGCAAAACAAGTGACATTTGACCTTTTTAGAGAGATTTAGAAAAAGAAAACACTTCTGGGGTCATTTGGGTGATTTTCAATATCTCTGGAACCCATTGGTCGATTTTGATGATTGACACCTCTTTTTAACCGTTAGAGCCAATAGAATCGAGGGGAAGTTCCTCAAATCCATCTACACAACACAACACCCATTGGTGAATAGAGTGATGCACAGCCAGAATGCTCAAAGCCGGAAGCTGTCATACACTCTCGTAGCTATCATAATAGCTATATATGAAAACTCAGTTTTTGCCATATATATGACGATGGATTATCAGAAATCATTTCAAAGTGACACAGACAGATTGGATTAACCTTCAGCAGCGTTTTTATCGTTTTAATGCCATTGAACATAACTTTTGATCAGAACAACAGCTAAGGTAAGACGATGTCTCGCGAATGCTCCGTAAAGCTCTGTGTTGTGATGTCTGTGTTTGCTTCCCCTGTCGCGAGTTCTGATTGCTCAGTGATGATACTTATACCCCTAGAATCTGTGGAATCTCAGCTTGCTAATCGATTTAGATGCTTCTTGTGAGACTTTTGTTTCGGTAAAAATGGTTCATATCGTCAGTTAGCTGAGTTTCTTCCCGTTAATCGGGTATGACACATTAATAGGTTTTTAAATGTTAAGAAGCCCTGAGACACAGACGCGGGCGGGGGCCTCCGGGTTGAAAAGGTTAAATTATGACAAAGTAACTGTCTTTATTTTAGGGAACTGATTGCTATTTCTAAATCTTTCATGTCACAAGAAATGCATACAGACACAAAAAGCATTCAATGAGCCAATTAAAAAAAAGATCATTAACTCCTTTCTCCCTAAAAAATCAACCCTTAAATGCTGTGTTCATCTGTTCTTTATGTGCTCGTTTTCATGCTTTCATAATATATAACACAAAATGATTGTAGATTTGTACAATAACATTTTGATTTGTCTAAATCAAAGAGAAATTACATTGTCATTGAGAGAAAGCCAGAGGTTTCTGACTCGTGTGAAGACGTGGCTCTAATTCTCATTCCACTTTCCCCTGGCTTTAAGCCTCTGTTGTCAGGGACACAGACTTCTGTCCCATTAATGTATTCTGAATGTTTGAGTACTGATAGTGATCCTTGAAGCAATATCTCTGAAACCATTAAGACCTGTAGCCAGTCTATAAGAAAGGTCAGGCAGCTTAATTTATACATTTCAGCAATAAAGCCTAGCTTATTGAACTCAAACGTTGACCTGTAATGCACACAGAGTATTACCGTGAAGAACACATAAAAACATAGACAGAAAATATTAACAAGGTTTTTAAAAATGTGTTTTACTAGTTTGAAAGTGGCCGATAGCTGCTACGCTGTATCTTTGTATTGAAACAGGTACTGATGTTAAAAATATTAAATACCTTAGGATAGTATATATTTCTGCATCTACAGCAGCTCAAAAAACTAAATAAATAATTGATAGATAGTTTTGAATAAACCGATCATTTAAACATTTAGAAACAGCTGATTTATCTTAATGTGTAATGAGGCAAAATGCTCCGAAGCATAAACATTACAGAAGTACTGAACATTGTACTGTTATTCCACGTCATCGCCTCTTTAGCTGTATGTGTGTATTTATTTTACACGTGTTGAACTGAAGACCCTGGTAGTATTTCATGTCGCTAATAGAGTGTGTTCTGCAGCTGCAACACTAAGCATGTTTCCATTATGTAAGGTTAAGATGACTCGTGAATCTTTTAGATAGTATAAAAAAATAAAAACCCCAAAATGTAGTGATAAACAATGGTAAGAAATCATAAAAAAGTAAGTTTTAAAAGTAAATATAAGACTTGTGCGTTTGCTGGTTTTGAAAAAGATAGAGACAACGTTATTGTGTTTAAATGTTGGGTTAGGTTTTAGTGATCAACAAATATTAGGCCGAGTGTATTCTGTTAAGCCCTGAGCCTGTTTTTCAGGTCTCAGGCTCGAAAATGACATGCCAAGAACAAATGACTATATCTTCACTTCTAGAAGGCTTAAAGTAATAATCTTTTTTCTCAAAGCAACCTGTGAGTTGGATGTAGAAAAGTCAGAATCAATATAGATGTATTTATTTTAAATTAAATTCAGATTGAACATAGTAAATAAATGTAAATGATAGTTTCCGTCCAAAAGACTTCTATATATTCTTCTTTCTGTGTCTTTGTATGCACCACATATAAACAGCAAATTCCTACCTACGTAATAAAACCGATGCTGATTCTGATTTCAAGAGGGGCTGATCCAGTAGCATTCAGGGGTTTATCAAAGCATGACCATTCTCTATTGGTTCGAACAAATACATTAAAGTAATGTACTGTCAGCTTGTTTTCTTATTTAATATCTTGGCATGTGTTGGATTTGAATGTGTTCATATGATTATGTGTGTTGTGATCATTGTGAGAAGCAGTAAATGTTTTGCAGGGACTTCATCAGATGCCGGAGAAGAATTGAAGAGTTTGTGAGTAATATTTCAGGTGCATGTCTGTCAATGTTTCCATGGTCCCTGTCTGTCGGACCAGCTCAAAGAAAAGGAGACAACAAGGAGAGGATGAATAATTGTAACAGCTTGTATTTGTGCTCTGTTCTCAATGCGAGGAATATCAATGGGTTAGGCATGTGCCGGAAAACACACATGAAGGTCACAAAGTTCAAACAGAATAACACCCCGCCACCCCCCCTTCAGAAACAGGAAGTCACCGCCAGTGCCAGTTAAAGATCACAAACAAAAAAAAGTAAAACAGCGTCATAGAAAACTATGTACAAATAATGGAGCGGTAAACTGAACATTGGCTGCGTTCGTGTTACTTTGAGGCTGTCTAACAGCCTTGTGATCGCTTACTGTACAATGTGATTCAGTACGATTCATTACAAGTACAAATTCATCAGATACCTATACTGCCAAAGAGAGAGACAGCTGGTGGCAGCCTGTGAGTTTTATCTTTTCATTGGCAGGAAGTCACGCTCCCCTGCACCAGATATAAGAGCAGACATGACGAGGTACTGTGTTCACAACAGGATGCACATAGCCTTCAAGTAAAAAAAAGAAGCTCCTTAGGAAAGACAGCAAGTGCCTACAATTGTATTTCAAACCATCCATGAAGAATACTCCATTCAAGAAGAAGAGCACTAGATACAAGTCAGTATTCTCAGTGTGTTTCTTCTGGAAAGCAGAACAAATGTTCTGAAGTTCCAAGGTAGAAACCCCGTCCACCCACCAAACCCCAACAGCCAGCCCACCACCAAATCCAAGTCATTTTTAAATGTGTTTATTTTTATTTCATTACACCCAAGGCAGAATAAAAGTTACTAAAACTTAAGACTTTTACAATTACAGTGACAAAAACAGTTTAAGAGACCCACAATTTAAATTGGACTGCAAAAAAAAACAAAAAAAACAACCTTTTTTCTATTTTTGTAAAATGCCCAGGCATTCTCCAATATTACAAATACTGGTATACTTTTACAGTAAACAAGAAAAATGTAATATATATTCATATGTTTTTATATATATATATACTAAAACCCCGTCACCAAAAAAGACCCGGAAAAAATATAAAACAATATCGCCACTACGGCATTCAGAGAAACTTCATAAGCAAAACTGAAAAAAAAATACTTGTTTGTTCAAAACACACATACACACAAATATTATTTTACCCTTGTACTTGTTTTAATACTGTAAACTTATTTTAAGACAGAGTGCACTAAATTCGTTTTTTTTAGTTTCTGCATTTCCTGATTTTTGTTGAGTCTCTTCCTTGACTTTTTGTGTGGCTTTTTGTTGTTGGACCGACTATTGTCCTAATGAGTGAGGAATTTGACATATATCTATATATAGGTTTGTGCCTTTATATGTACATATGCATACATATATACACACACACAGACACACTGATATTGTGCTGGGTACTCCTAGCCTGAACTCAGCATTATTTAATTTATATTTCCGTGGAAATGTCAAACTACAAGTTAAAGTTCACATTTTTTGTTGTTCAATTTGATGCTTCATAAAAGTGTTGCATTTGTCTGAGACAATAAATAGGAAGATCCTTATTCAAGGCACACTCATGTCAAATTGAATGGCAGTACAAAAACTGTCCCAAATAAATTATATTTCCTTTTTTTTTATAGTGCCAGCATTGGAAAAGCCTTGCCTAACAACCCTGGGCACTTCAGCATCAGCAGACCCCAAAGCTCTCCACCCTTCAGTACCTTTCTGTCCAGCTCTCTCTGTGTCGGACGGGGAAATTATAAAGTGCGGATCTGTTGCTAAGAACTCTAGATTTATGAATTGACAGCAGCTATGAAGGTGGATGGGGTTATGATGTTTAAAAAAACAAAGGGGCATGGAGCAAACTGATGTCTTACCATTAGTCTTACTACTTCCGCTCACATTGACTTATCATTTCCTCTTTTACACAAAACTGTCCTACAACTAATGGTGAAGCCTTTGAGGATTCCTATTCTCAGTGGATTCCTTAACCACATGGTGACTTCAGTCATCAGATTATACATGTATAGATCACTATGAAGATACAAGTTAACATTTACTCTACCACTTTTCCAAAAATTTCATGAGAGACATTTGAGCACAAAATGCATAGGGTTGTTGGTTTTTATAAATCTTAACAATAAAATCAATCAAATTCAATTTTCTGCAGGAAACTAAGAGTAGTCTGCCATGTATTCACACACATGTATCTCTCTCTAAACTAATTAATTACAAGCTGTGACTTCAAATATAAATCAGTCTAACCACTTTATATTGAGGACAAAGCCTGGGCATTAGCCTAGGGGACGGGGGGACGGGGGGGGTGTTGTACTGTCGCTAATTCCAACATATGATGAAATGGAAATGCAGAAAATATTAGGTTAATCACAAAAGTAGTAAAGCTCACCCTGAGATGTCCCTGTGCTGTTGTCTGAGTCTTCTATCCATCTCTATGCATACTCGTATTGCATGGCTTCATGCTCAGTTTAGTCCATATCAATAAAGGCCTAGATCATATGGCTTGGTGCAAACTATAATGAATGGATGTTTGAATGTAAGTAAGATGGAGGGGCTGGAAAGCAGAAGATGGTTGTCGTAGCGTTGTCGGGGCTTGGGACCACGTCGTACCAGTCAGCAGCTGCCTTATCCAGATGTGTTTCCTCTGGTAGTTCTGTTCTCAGCAGGAACCTTGGGATCCTCTTTGATTTTAGATTTACTGTCAAATATGACGCTCAGTGCTACATATCCAATTATATTGACATGTTTTAGACTCAGTTCATGCTACAAGGATTGTTGTCCGCGTATCATCACACAAAATAGACTAATTCTAGCATTCTCAGTTAACGCCACTTTCAAATTGAAGATTGAATTCAGCCTCTCTTCAAGAAATCACACGTTTAGCTTAATATACAATTTACTACAAGCAGCGGCCAAAAAAAACAAAATTGACCTTTGTCTTCTGAAAAGACTCTCAGGATAACATGGGGTTTTAAAAAACAGAGAAATGCTAAATCAAGTAAAACAAATATACAAAAAAAAAGCCTAAATAATAATGTACCTGCACATGCCAAAATACAAAATTGAATAAATACAGAAATTATTGCACAGTTAAAGGCTCCACATATAGTATAACTCAACTGACTGATTGTTTAAAAAGGAACCCCAAATGAGGCAGTTTAGACAGCCTTAAGTGGTGTTAAAATATCTGTTTTCTCATTTGGCAGTTTCTTAAAAACACAAAATTGACCCAAAATGAACATTGCAGAAAAAGAGTATCCAGCTTCCCCATTTTGTTAGTTTTTTTTTGTCAAAGTGTGGCGCAAAGTCTGGAAAGAGAGACCCCAATTTATGTTCTCTCGGCTTCTTCAATTTTGACTTCATTTGTCATCAAATGTTCTCCATGCCACTTTTTCATATGTTTTTCCAAGGTGCTGTACACGCTGAAGGGCATTTGGCAAATGTCACAGCGGTAGACATCCTTCCCATGCTGGCCGTGTGTCTTCATGTGGCGTGTGAGCTTGGAGCTCTGGGCACAGGCATAGTTGCACAGGTCACACTTGTAGGGCCTCTCACCTGTGTGGCTGCGCCGGTGCACCGTCAGGTTGCTACAGTTCTTGAACACCTTGCCGCAGTATTCGCAGGTGTCGCACCTCCTGCTATCCTTGGAGCCAGGCCTGCCTGGACCTCCACCCAGGTGAGGCGTGCTGCCTCCACTGGCGGTGCCGCTGCGTCCTGAAAGACCTCCATCCAGCAGGTCACCCGGAGGCGTTGAAAACCGCAAGCTGCCGTTCTCGGACGAGTGCTCAGAGGAGGTGGCGAAGGGCGATTGTCTGGAGTCAGTGAAGCCGAGGAAAGGGTCTTTGATGAAGTGGCGTGAGGCAGCATAGCCCACCAACCACTGGGAGTACACGTTCTCGGAGGGAATATGGGGTGCTGGGGGAATGTCCAAGTCCTTCTCAATCTTGATCCTCTTATTTGAGGAGATGGACAGGCTGGGGCTGGTGATAGGGGTGGGCTTACGTGGAAACAGGCCTGAGAAAGAGTCAACGGAGCCACAGTTCCGGCCATTAATGGTGGTCCTCTCTTCCTGCTGGTGGTGGTGGTTTATCTCCCCAGCCACTGAGTCCTCATCCCCTGTATCCCTCAGGCCATCGGAACCCCTCTTGGTGAAGGGCATCCTTTTACGATTGTCAACTATTAAATTATTGTACTGCTGAATAGAGTTTAGACCCCCACCTTCCACCATTTTCTCAAGGGCGAGTGATGGCTTGTCCTCTGAGGGCAGTTTAGAGCCGTTCTCCCTGTTCCTGAAGAACTCACACTCCATGCTGAAGTTGGACTCTGGTCGACTCTCATTCTCAAGTTCCTCTTCTTCTTCCTCCTCTTCTTCGTCCTCGTTGCCTTCCCCCTGGAAGTCCCCATCACGATTCTTCATGCCTTCACCTGTGACATCACTGGTGCCAGGCTCTGGGGAGCTTGTGGTGGACAGTCCATCATCTGAGCGCCCTGTCAGGGATCCAGCCTTGTGCATGTGGGTCTTCATGTGGCGCTTCAGCTTGCTTGCCTGAGAGCAAGCGTGGTCACACAGCTGGCACTTGTATGGTTTTTCTCCAGTATGGCTGCGCCGATGCACCACCAAGTTGCTCTGGAACTTGAAGGTCTTACCGCAGAACTCACAGGACTTGACTTTGTTCTGTGTCTGGGGAGGGGTGGTGCTGTTTAGGGGCATCGGCGGTAAGGGAGGGGTGCTCAGAAAAGGTGATTTTGGCCCAGGCTGGAAGGGATTGGGGTTTAGCAGTCGGTGCATAGGGTTGGACCTGCTGGGGGACAAAGGTGGAGTGGTGTTGTTGTTGTTCCCTGCCAACTCACGTAACCGCCTGGAGAAGTCCATGGACTGGGACTCCATGGCCATGGGCGTTAGCCGCATCACCCTCTCAAAGGCACTGGGGTGCTGTGATATGAGGCCCATTTCCTCTGCGCTAAGGCGTTCCAGTCGATGGGGGTCCAGGTGGTGGCGGGGAGGCGGGCTGATGAATGGAGGCGTGTTGGGAAGTCGGTTCTCCATAAAGCCTAGGGGAGGCTCCCGGAGCAGGGGTCCCGCCATCCTCAATAGGTGAAACGGGTTGTTGTCCCCGAGAAAGTTGGTGAGGGGGGACTGCGGGATGGAGTCGTTGCCCATGGGTGGAGGCATAGCGAGGCGTGGGGTGAGGGCAGTGCTTGAGGGGTTGGACTCCAGGTATATCCGAATGCCGTGGCTATTCTGGGCATGCTGCAGCAGGAACCAGGCGCTGGGGAAGGGCTGCTTACATGTGGTACATATATAGCTGGAAGGCTCATCCCTGCCACCTGCAACATGAAGAGAAAGAAACACATCAAATACTGCAGCTGACAACACCATCACGTATACTGCACTCTCACAACTTCAGGCAGAAATGAAGAAGCATATCTGATATGAAGAGTGAAAAATGAAACAAATGATTGGGTAAAGGTAAAATCTACCTTATTCATTAATCAATATCTCATTACCGTTTTTGGAATTTACAACAACATTGCAGTGATAGAAAAGGGAAATAGGCTGAAAAGCAGTGAAATAAGTGTGTATGGTCCTAGTAATGCATTGGCTCATCATGTTGTCACATAAACGCTACGTACTTATCACACATGTGCATTTTCACACTGGACTGGCCCAAAGGTACTTAATCCTAGTACTGAATCTTGAATATCCAGTGGCGAGGGCCTAGGTATAAAAGTCACGGCTCGCCACTGTGAATATCGCTTACAAGCACCCACTTCTGAAGGGTTGAGAATGGCAAATTAGTTTTCAGCCAGCATACAATTATTTAGTAGGCTTCTTTGCTTTTTGCCTTTACTGATATTGTCTAAAGATTAGGAAAGGGGGAAAAGAGGGGATGACTTTGAATGTGACTCCAGGGCAGCTGCTGCTGTTGATGCTGCTGCTGCTGCTGGGGTATAGGAGTGGCCCTAAATGGTGAGCTACTATCATTCTGTGCACATTATATTTTATTTTGTTCATACACACATGGAGTCTTAGAAACAAAATCTGAACAAAATCAGATATAATCAAAAACAATGTGTGTAATAAAATTATAACGGGTCAGTAATGTTTCATACATTTTTAATACCAATAAAGAATAAACAATTGGTAATTAAAATATTACATCATCTCTGAGAATGTGCGTGTGTGTGTGTGTGTGTGTGTGTGTGTGTGTGTGTGTGTGTGTGTGTGTGTGTGTGTGTGTGTCTGTGTGTGTGTGTGTGTTTGTGTGTGTGTGTGTTTGTTAAGGAGGAAAGTCAAAATGCACAACAGCTGTTCATCTCCACAGTTCTTTTGAGTCTATTGACTTAATTATAGTGGACAGCACATTCACACACACACACACACACACACACACACACACACCACGCTGTTGTACTGCTCGATCTTAAGACCTTAAGACCTTGTACACTACAAACAGAAACACTCCCCCCTCTCTCCCTCTGTTCGCTCGACCAATTGATCGATGATTAATACTGGAGAGAGAGATGATTTACAGCTGTATGTATCATTTTTCTTTCCTCTTGTTTTTTGTTTGTCTGTTTTATCTCCTTATTGGCAAAACAGATGTATTGATTTAAAATCTAAATGGACATATACAGTATTTGATTTGAAAGGACTTGAGCTGAAATTACTCCTGGTTATTGAGTGGGGGGCAGTTCATGTTCTTCTCTGCCCAACAATTAGAGCAAATGGTGTGTGTTATAGTGTGTGAAAGAAACAGCGACACAGTGTGTGTTTCTGCACCGAAGAGCCATTTCTCTTCGGCTGCAGTAAAGGAGCAGATCGTGTTTTTTCTTTGGGGGAAGTGTGTGTGTGTGTGTGTGTGTGTGTGTGTGTGTGTGTGTGTGTGTGTGTGTGCGTGCGTGCGTGCGTGCGTGCGCGCGTGCGTGCGTGCGTGCGCGCCCTCCCGGGGGAAGGGAGTCCAACGCAGATGGCAAATAAAGTATGTAGCCCGAGGCGAGAGCACATTATGCTAATTATAATGTCAGCTGTACTTTAATATACGACTCTATTTAATCAACCCATTATTTCCTATTTCCATATGAAACACCAGAGAGAGAGAGAGCTGCTCATCACTTGATTTGGAAGAATGAAGAAACCCATGTTTTATGGAGTGCTGTGTGTGTGTGTGTGTGTGTGTGTGTGTGTGTGTGTGTGTGTGTGTGTGTGTGTGTGTGTGTGTGTGTGTGTGTGTGTGTGTGTGTGTGTGTGTGTGCGTGCGTGCGTGCGTGCGTGCGTGTTTGTGCGTGTGTGCTTGAATACGAAAACAAACTCCTCCCTCCTCATCAGCATACTCTCTTGGTGTCTCTCCTGTGTGTGTTTCTGAACACAGACAGGAGAAGACACACTCAAGCAATCAGACACACATTTTAAATGTATAATTATAAAGGTTTTTCTAAGCATTATTAAACACTTGCTGTGACTCTATCAGCATGTTATATTGTTTACAAAATAAGACAAGATTAAAAAAAACTCTAAGACATTTTAAAAGTGTTTAGCAAATTGTAGATTTTGAAGTTTATGTGAAATCATCTCAGTTGAAACTTAAGTACAATTAAGAAAAAAGGGATTATCAGATTTTTGGAATCAGAACGTAAATAGATTGAAACCCTTCTGTATAGTTTAGCCTTAAAACATTGTTGAAACATAGTTGGTATAAACAGAGCAAATGTTTCCGTAGCAGTGCAGTGAAAGTGTATCTTACTGCCTGCCTCCAGTAGAGGGATCCCAATACACCACCAGTCCTGAGGTTAGGCTGTGGCTTCACAAATGGAAGCTACTGAAGCCTCTACAAACAGCTGCCATCATTATTCTATATATTATGCATTACATATTCCTCTTTGCTAATTTATGCATAATTCGTTATTTGTTTCCTTTTACTACAGATATGCTAAATCTTTGGGAGCATCTTGTTAATACTGGAAATACAACATTCATTACGTTTCAAAATGGGTGAAAATTGCGTATACATCTTATTGAGATGACTGCTCCAACTCTTTTAGAAAAACGATTGATCATGTATCAGCGTGTGTAATGTGTAGGAGGAGAGAACCCCCCCACCCCAGCCTTCAGCAGCACTTCTACGTTCTCTATCCTCTCCTTCCTGCTTCAGTCACACAATATAAAACTCTCATTACTGACTGATTCCAGTTTCCACTATGATTCAATTTGCCATAATTACTGCGTCTGAGGCGCATATAAAAGGAAGAGAGAGAGAGCGGCTTGCAATCGGTGCGAAGGTCAACTGGCAGTTAGCGGCATTCATTCTCATCTCAGTGTATTCATCTGGGGCAGCTAATGGCCCAATTCACCCCCCCGCTCCACTCCTCAATAAATATTGCTTGAATTACGGGTTAAATAGCTAAATTAAATCACAGCTATTACAGATGAGGGTGGCGGGGGGGGATTAGAGAGGGATTCAAATCTGTGCAATTAGGAGGAAGTGCAGATCAGCACGGAGTGTGCGATTAGTGTAGCGAGTGTCAAATGGTTATTATACATCATGTTTCTCAGTGGCCAGTGGTCAGAGGGAAGACGCACAGAGAGTAACGCTCTCATCTGTATCTCACCTCCTCTACGATACTTTTTATTCAATCATACCATTTACACTTTCACTCTTCTTTTCTTCTCGCCCATTCACTCGACTCAGATTGAACCTTTATTAACTGGTGCTGTTCTGGCAACAGTTATTCTAAACTCTATTGTTTGCAGGCCAAAGTGTAATGTGTTTTTTATCACAAGGAAATAGTTAAAGTGTGTGCAATCGAAGAAATGAGAACTGTTAACTGACTGAGCTGACAATTTGCAGATATTGCCCACATGGCTGAATTGAAGGCTATTCAATCAAACAATCTCTTATTTATAGATTTTTTTTCTAGAAACTCGATCAAAGTCAGACCATGTGCTCTCATTAAATATTTTACTTTATCTTGATTTGGTCAATCAGTGATGGATGGTGATATAGTTGAAGTCATTAATAATGATGTGTCCAGGGGTTTGAGGTAATGTGTGAAGTATTTTTATTTTAGCAAAACTGCACACAATGCACAAAGTGGAGAGAAAATGAGAGTTAATGGAGGCCCCAGGTTTGACCGGAACCCTAACCTCTTCATGTGTAAAATAATGACTTAAGTATTTTTGTATTACAACTGGCTTAATATTGTCAATTGAGACTGCAGAACTGTATACAACAATAAAGCATTCTGTGTATTATTATATCATATCAAGCTTATATCAGGATAATATGATTTAGCTGGAGGCCAATAGATGATAACATTGGATTATTAACATCAGGTCAGCATTGAGACATTCACACATTCACACAAGGGTCCAGCTGCTGCGGTAACCTTGACTCTTGATGTTTCCTCAGTGTTCAAACACAATGAGTTCTGATCCTCTACTCTCATTCATCCCTCTGGTTAGTGTAGTACAGTCCTCTCTCCTTCACCCTGAGCTCTCAATCAAGGAGGCTTACGACCCTCGTGCTGTACAGTAGCCCCCGCTCCCCCGTCCAATCAAAAGTGGATCAGAAACCTGAGCTGGTTAGCATACAGGATGTGCAGCAGAGCAATGTCAGGGGGAGGCATTTACATACAAAACAACGCTGACATGAGCCAAGGGTACAAGCTGTGTGTGTGTGTGTGTGTGTGTGTGTGTGTGTGTGTGTGTGTGTGTGTGTGTGTGTGTGTGTGTGTGTGTGTGTGTGGGTAGGTGTGGGTGTGTTGTTCCCCTCTTGGCCTTTTGTCGCATATGTAAAACGTTTCTTGTCACTTAGTTTTTTTTTTTGCATTATTAATTCTTAAGTGTCATTAAAATGTTTGTGGTCAGTAGGTAACCCCCCCCCCTCTGCCGCCACCACCCCCGATACACAAACAAAATCCTCACCTTGCATGGCTAATGTCTTGTTTATCAGCAAAGCACAGCTACAATGACATGCAAATGAGCTGTGTGTGTGTTATCATCTCTGTAAACACGCTACACACTCTTACAGGTGTACACGCTGTACATGGCTCTATGCAACAGTTCAAACAAGATAAATACACATGTTGGTTTATAGGTTTGCTTGTGGGAAGTTAAAGAGTGTGCATGTGTTTCCTCCTATTGAGATCATTTCAAAAAGCAGACGTCCGGTCCCCAAGAAGTATGTTAGTTCTGAGTGAAGTGGTTTGAGAGTCTTCCAAAAGGCATTTTTAATTGGCTATAATAGCTCGCAACTAAAATCACTACAGGACCACACAGCAGCAGCAGCAGCAGCAGCAGCAGCAGCTTTAATGAAATGGCCAACTGT